GATTTGAAATGTCTATATTTAAATAATTTATAATTATTAAACCTATATTTTACTCCAGCACATGTCATTTAAAAATCTTTTTCGGAACCCATTGAAACATCAAGTGTTGTATGGCTTAAAGAAAACCCGAAGGCGGTTTTGTCAAGATTGAAAAAAAACGATCTAAGACTGACATCCAAGGTGTGTAAATGAAATTTAATAAAAATAAAACTATAGAATTAATAAGGAAATAATTGCATAAAGCCATAACCGCATGCAACAAACAGTATTTGTCTAAAAAAAAAATTAGTGAAGAATCTAAGAAAATAACTAAAACTTTTACAAACATAATTAAATTATTACAACAAAGAAAGAAGAATAATACTTAAGAATAAAAAATAAGATATTTAACACTATTTTAGTATTAAGAGGAAGAAGCATAGAAGATGGTGAACGGAGTGAAAAAAATACAGAGCAATTTAGTAAAATAAAGTGTGCTATATTGTATTAAAAGATCTATAGATAGGTTTACAAAAATATTCTCTTCTAAAAGTCAAGCTAATATGCAGTGCGCATCAAAATCTTAAGACACTTAAAGACAAATTCCCCCGAAAAATAAAACAAGACAAAATTTTAAAACATGTAATGATAATAAGTGTAAAATCAATATGTATCTAATTTTGTTCTTTATTGATCTAATTTGTTTTTTAATTTTTTTGTCACAAGAGATGTTTCAAAATCTTAAGACATTCCCCCCCCCCAAAAAAAAATACGTTGTATAGAATTGTAAATATTACATTCGTTTTATTTTGTTACAATAAACTCTTGCATGATTTTATTTTTCTAATCTAAGCTGCTACAAATCGTTTAAAAAAATAATTAATCTTACAATTAAACGGAATGTCGCATTTAATTCAAATACAAACACATGCTTAAAATAATAATATTTATTATTTATTGTTTTTTTTATTTAGAAAAGTGATTTTAAATTTCTTCAATGTATCTCAAATACATGATGGTTTTGAAATTTTTTTAAAAAAAAGATTATTTATTGATTTTATCACCTTTTTCTTTAACAACATCAATCATACACTTGTGCATTCCACTGCATACTTAAACAGATTTCGGATGTAATATTTGATCGGGCTGCTATAGCGAAGATTGCAAATTTTGAGTATTATTATATTGTCTCCCGTCTCTATATATCATTCTCGACATATCTGCCCATAAATTTTCAACAGGATTAAGATCTGGACTTAATAGTGGTCGGTTTATGCAATTAATATTATTTTTTTTAAACCATATTTTAGTTGTACGAGCTTAATGGTAAGATGCATTGTCTTGTTGAAAAATATAATTAAAATCGCAATTTATATCATTAGAATCATTATTTTTACTTTCAAGAAATGTTAATAGAGCTGTTTCAAGCATTCTACAATAAGAAGCGCTGTCATTTTATTATTTAAAATCTGTAAAATCAATTGTTTACTTGAACTTTACAGGCCAAAACCATAATACCTTCTTGCTCTTTATACGCTCACTATATGAAATTTTATCCTTATTTACATGATGCCAACGATATTTAAAACCATATGGACCATCTAAATTAATTTTTTTTTCGTCAGAAAATATAGCTTTACGCCATTGACGAGTCCATAAAATTTTATCTAAAGCAAAATCTTCCCTTTTTAATTTATGCACTTCCTTTAAATTCGTACTCAGTCTTATTTTTTTATAAACAAGATTATTATTTTCTTTAATTGCTCTTAAAACAGTAGATTTTTATGCTGATAAATTAAATCAGCCTTAGTTTTAGAAATAGTTATGGCTCTAAAGAACCCATACTTCGAATTTTTTTATTGCCTTAAAAGAAAAGAACCCTTTTCCTGCCTTTTTTATTAAGCTTTTAATAAGATCCATTGAGGTCAGGTAATTTCTGATTGCAGTTCTAATCCTGTCCAACATTAAACCAATTTGCTTAATATTTATTTCTATTAGAAAATAAGCATCAATCTGTCCTTTTTCATACTCACCTAAAAATTTTCCTTTGCTCATTAAAGGATAAATAATTTTTTTCAAAAAAACATCAAAACCATCATGTACTTGAGGTACATTGGAGAAATTTGAAATCACTTTTCTATATCAAAAAAACAATAAATAACAAATATTATCATTTAAAGCATGTGTTTGTATTTCGAAATTTGTGTTTAATAAGACATATTATTTTTTTTAAACGTTTTGTAGTAGCTTACTTATATTAAAAAAATAAAATCACACAGTAATTTATTACAACAAAGTAAAAACAATGTATTATTTACAATTCTATAAAACGAATTTTTTTTTTTTGGGGGGGATGTCTTAAGATTTTGACACATCTCTTGTGACAAAAAAATTAAAAAACCCGATTAGACTTTTATAAAATAAGAATTAATAAAAAATAATGACCAAAGCATTTTTATTACAAAGCGTGGATACGAATCATAATTTTAAATTATGTCCTGATTTATTTTTTCGAGCGGATTTTTTTTAGGTGTCTTAAGATTTTACGCGCACTGCATATAGCTTAATTCGTCAGACGGCACAAAATGCCTATAAAGACACGATTAATATAAATAAGAGTTTTTCAAATGGAATAAAAGTATTTATAAGAGAATTTAACGAATCTTTAAAAAAACTATTAGACTCTTTAAAAAAAACGAATGTTTTAGAGCTGATAAGTAAACAACCAGACAAAATCCTATTCTATGAAAAAAGATTATTAATAAGTCATGAATGATTTTTCAGGTAGAAAAGAAAACTGAAAATATGAACTTTAAAAAGATAATTTTTATACAGCTTCTCAGGAAATGGTACATTGCTTGCCCGTTTGGGTCTGGAAGACTTAGAAGAGGTGTTTACAAACGACATTTCTATCTATTTAGGATTTCTTTTTATAGTTTTACATGAAACATGTAAACAAACAAACAAGTTTAAGACATTGTGGTTTTGTTCGTACAAGAAACTACTGGACGTTTTGCATCCAACAAAGCCTTTAATTACCCTTATCATTTATACTTATTATCACAACTGTCTCACTTCAAAGCGTTTTAATCTAAAAGAGTTTCAGTAAGCAATTATTTTTAAAAATAATTAAAAACATATATGCTTTCTAATAATTTTTATTTAAACAACCCTTCTGTTGGTCACCATAGAGCCCTATAAAAAGAAAAGCTAAAAATTAATGATAAGTCGATAAACATATCAACTAAGGAAGTCACTAAATCTTGGATTAATATGTGAAAAAAAAGATTAGGAGCAGAAAAAAAATCCGCTTGTCTTGCCCCAAAAGATGAGTGCAGTGTTAAAATAAATTTCAATAAATGATTTTATATAATTCAATTCTTTGAGGCCCCGTGTCTTCTCCAGTTTCATATTTTATTACATGTTTTAAAATCACCAAATCACATTTTATAGATTTAAAACAATAATTGTCGTGTTGGGGAATGACTTTATCATATATAAACTATCTCCCTATACGCGTAAAAGCGCTAAATAACAAAACTGTAGGTGCTCGGTTAAAAGATTCCGCCGTAAGGGTATAAAAAATAAATATAAATTTGTTTAATTTTATCTTTGTTTTTTGTTTTTTACTAGCTTGCGCTATCCCGTTTAAAA